TTATTATTTATTGCTACAAATTTATTATGATATATTATTTTGTTTGTCACTTCATATCCAACAAAATTTAAAAAAAAATACAAAGAAACAGCACTAAAACAGAATCTAACCAATCAAGAGAGATATTAAGTGAATATAAACATTTAATTTTGTTCGAAATAATAGATTATAAGTGGCAACAATATTCTTAATGTTTTGATGAGTGGCAGTTACCGGAAAAGTCATATGACTAAGTTCACAGTGTTCGATATGATGGATATAGTGGCTTTCATTCATGCATGGAAATAACCGGAAGCTACATTTACCTATCCAAAATTATGCATGTTCACGTTGAGTATGGGGACAAATTTTGTGTGCTTGTGCTAATGTGGAGCAACAAAGGTTACACCAGGTGCTGGAAAAGTTCATAGTCGAAAGTCATGGTTGGCAAATGGAACACATCTGCTCACTTTTCAGCTATCAATGTCAAAGCTGGAACTATTGAACTGAAAAAAAAAACCTAGCACAAGGCATGAAGAAAAGGAAATGCCTTGACAAAAGCTAGCCGGCTGCACATGCACGTGTATATTGTCTTTTCCATTGACAAGGTCAAGGTCTCCCGAAGCTTTTCCTGATGGCTTTCGACAAACCATGCCAAGCGAACTTCCTCAATAGCAAGGGAAGTTATCTTCTCCAAAACACTTGCTGCAATCTCGAATAAGAATAATTCATCCATATCTGAACTCTGAAATCAAAGAAAAGACGAAGGTTATTAAGTTAAAAGACAGGTCAACGCTCTCTTTTTCTCTGAGCAGTTCATTGACTTTGCCCTTGAGCCAGCCAGTTGATCTTCATATATAGCTTTCCAAGATGTATATATTTTCGAATAATTTATTCATTTGGCGAAAACTGTACACAAACGACTAGACGTTGACGGTCCATCCACTCCCCAGCAAGTTAATAAGATTTCTCTCTATCAAATTTCTTAATATTGTGGAACTAATCAATTTAAAAAAAAAAAAAAATTTCGACGAAGTCTTCCTCCTTCACGCTAAGTTAGTAATAGGATTTTGATTACTATTCTACTTCTTTGTGTTAAAGTTAATTTGAATAAATGATAAGAATGATTTTGATTAAATTAAAAATATTAATAAAAGTAAAAATAATTATAATAATAATAAGAGTAAAAATAGTTGTGAGATATGTGTTTGAATAAAACAAAAATATTAAAGATAAATTAAGTTATAGTGAGAATAAAAAATCATATAAGATATTAAATTAAAAATTATATATAATAAAAAATTTTAAAAATTTAAAATTTATAAAATTAATAAATAATTATAAATTTATTCAAATAATTTATGTCAAATAATAATTTATTAATAAATAATTGATAATTAATAAAAATAATAATTTATCAAATAGTATTTTTATTATATTAAATAAAAAAAATAAAAGGTTAAATTATAAAAATATTTTTTTGTCTCTTCAATACAATTAAAATGATAAAAAAAAAAAAAATGCAATCGAGCGTTCATCCACTAAAACCAAAAAATTCAACGAGTAAAAATTGATTTCGTGATGGACATCCAATTGCGTGTTCAATGCGTTTGCACAATTTTTCATGCCAAGTATATTTACGCTAGGGATACTTTCGAATTCAAATCGCGATTTAACTTATAGTCACCTTTTATGGGCCTTCTCGATAGACAATAATAGATGAGTTTATGCGAAATGAAGATACTTGAATGAGATAATCGTTTAATCAATGAATCAGAACACGACAAACAGCTGAAGCAGAGTGTATAAAAAGATATAAGCCTTATACTTTAACATCGAGAAATTTTATAAAATTATATTTAGGTGATAAAATAATTTATATCTTAGAGATTTTAATTAATTTTAAATAAAATAAAATTTTTTTAAATAAAAAATCAGATCGAAAGTGGATTGGATTTCTTTTTTTTTTTCTTTAAATTGGGTTTGAGTTGAAGTTGGATTTTAAGTTGTTCCAACTCCACTAGATGCGTGTATATAAAAAAATATTTTTATTATTTATTTAATTTTATGTTTATATATATTACGTTAATAAAATAATTATTTAATATTTTAATTTAAGATATTGATTTAATAAAAATTTTATATTATATATAACTAAGATATAATTTATATTTAAAAATAATATTTTATGAATATTGTATTAAATTAAATTATTATATTAATTTTGAATCGAAACAAATTCGTCGTAATTTATAAATATATTAATCAAATTGAATAAAATAATATTTTGATGTCGAATAAAATTAAAATTGAGTATAAAAATTAAAAAATTAAATTAAAATTAAATTAAATAAAAATTCACTTTGATTTAACCCGTTATCATCCTTCTTTATGCTAATTACAAAAATATGGGAACACTCATAATTAATGGGTCAATTCCAAGGATGATTACATCAAGTAATGCAGGTACATCATCTAATGAAAGGTACAATAACACAATGATGGTATTAGACTTAGATTTAGATGGACCGCAGAGTGATGATAGTGTAATAACTCTATCATTTTATTTAATGAAAGATGCAATAACACTATCATTTTATTTAATGAAAACGACATTTTTGGTTTGTCTGCCATGCCCATTTCAAAGGAAAGGAAACATGAAGGAAACAGCTAGCTATATATAAAACAGAACCTAACCATTCAAGAGAGGTACCAAGTGGCATTGTAACTTTAAAACAACCTAAACAATTTTTTTTCTCAATTTGTTTTTCTGATGTTCTCTTTTTTTCCCCCTTTTTTTCTTTAAATGTGATTTGCTTGTTATAGGCGTTGGAAAAGGTTGTGATGTCTGCATGCGTGAATTTTTGGATCGATTTGAGTTTTAGTAAATTTTGATTGTTGTTTTCTTTGTTTTTCCACCGTTCATTCTTTTTCAGACTCAATCTTTCTGTTTTTTTTTTCTCCTTCCAAGATTTTTTTTTTTTTTTTTGCAAAAAGTCAGTATTGACATAAGGTTGAATAAATGATGAATCTCCACCCATAGTGTCACCCAACTATGCATCTCTAGTTGAGTTTCATTTTATGATAGATAATAGATAGATGACATATTCTTATTCTCAACTTGCTTTGCTAGTTGAAACATATAAAATGGTACGCATTTCAAGTAATCATTTTTCTGGTTATACGCAGCCATACATTTTATAGTATATTTCCATAAAGTCCATAATTGAAGCCAACAAATCATTGGCACAAAGACTCTAAATCAAAGAAAGTAAAAACTAAAAAGCTTCCAGCTAGCGCTAGCCTTTATACCGACAGGCTTTGGTTCAATCATCCATCATGAGAGCTGCATGCAGTAGTTCAAAACTAAATGAAATGAGTTAAAAATACAACTCAAAGTAATTCCAAGCAATGTTCCAAAAAAAAAAAAAAAAGCTAAGTTCGAATGAATCTTGTGGAAATGGGTGGATTGAAGTCTCACATGCCGCTCCTTTATTCTCACCAAAGCATCGACTTCAAAATTTACCTACGACCAAAGGCACAAATCATTAAAATTTGCAAATGTTGTATGCATAATACATGCGTAGAGAGGAACTTATATGGTCAATTTTAACTAGCAATGAAGGGATAAAAGATAAAGAAATTAATAAGTACCACGAACCATACCTGGTAAATCTTGTGATCTTAAATATGAACCTCTTGGATGTGTGCTATCTTGGACCAACCAGCACCCACTTCGGGTTGATATTTTTCACTCAACGTAGGACATTTTCGAATCTGTAGTTGGGTAAGCAAGGTGAGGCGATCCAAACCATCCGGAAGAGAGGATAATTTTGGGCAGTCAAGAATCTCAAGTTTTTGAAGTGATGACAGATTTTGTAGCCATTCCGGTAGTATCTCAAAGTTGGGACAGCGGTTAATTTTTATAAATTGCAAAGTGCTAGTGTCACGGGTTGAGACTTAAGCTCCGAACTCACGCGACTCCGGGACCCGGGCATTCACCCTTCCGGCATTAAATGTCACGGACCTAAGGGGAGTCCTGAATCCCACATCGAACATAATAAGAGGGTCACTGGGGTATATAAGGGTTCACACCACCTCCGTCTTGTGAGGTGCCTTTTGTAGAACAAAACCGTAAGGCCAGGGGGTCAGAGTGGACAATACCTCACAAGGGTGTGAACCGTGGCGAGAAGGCTGATCCGGGAAGCCGAAAAGGTGAATGCCCGGGTCCCAAAACTGCGCGAATTCAAAGTTTAAGTCTTGACCTGTGACACTAGCAGATCTATCAAGAAGCAATCGCGATAGATCCTCCAACTTTGGTGCACCTCGTATTTCCAATTGCTAAAGGCACAGGTGAAGGTCTCAGTCTTCTCTTTCTTCCAGTTCCATGCGTAAATTGATTATTGGGCATTCAACTATAGTAATACACTCCAGCTTGGTTAGAAATTTCAGACTTCGTGGTAGTGAGACTAGTTTAGAGCAACATTTTATAGTCAAACTTCGAAGTGATGTCAGGTGTTGCATCCCTTCAAACAAATATTCCTGCAACTCACATCCGTAGCAGTACAAGAACTGAAGAGAACTCCAACATCCTGGTCGAATCTCACTTATATGCGTAGTATCTCTTTAGATTTGCTTTGAATCTTATAATTACACATCGAAAATTTTAAGAGTTTTGAATTTATCTTATATCCCATATTGAGAGCTTAATAAAGTTATAAAAAATTTCATCCTTATAAATAAAATATTTTAGTTTTGGTTTGAGAGTCTTAGAAGTTAGACACCAAAAGAATAATTAAGTAGGTTATTAAAATGGTATAATTAAATTTTGGGTTAAATTTCAAATAAAGAGTTTTTGAAGATTTTTTTCATTCTAAAAGTTTTATAGTTGTAAAAATTTATTGTTAGTTGATTGAGTTTTGAGTAAATCATTTTGAATTGGGTCGAACCAAATATATTTGTATGTTTTTATTTTTTATTTGAGCTTGTTATTTTGTGTATATGAATGCTGTGTGTGGGTGTTAATTTCCCATGAGAATCTCGGTTAGATCTAGGAATCTGAGATTGACCAAACTTTGCAAATTGCGAGGCAGTTGCAATTGGCAATCAATATCCAACAATCTTAATGTCAACAAGCTTTGAAGCTTATAGATAGAACGAGGAAGCTTGCTCATTCTATAACACCTGGATAAGTCAAGATATCTTAAATGCTTCAAGGTGCCAACGGAATTGGGCAATACTTCCAAAAATGAATAGGAGAGATCAAGTAGCCGCAGGAACTTGAAATTCAAGATGGAAGCATTTACAAAATGTTCCTCAATTATCCTATTTCTTCCTGAAGAAGGTAGGATCACCAATGTCCGCACACCTTTTAAATTCTTCAAAAATGACTGTGGAGCTCTCAATGGATTATCACCCAAAAATGACAGATGTCGAATATGATCAGCCGCATTTATTGTATGAGGATAAATTGTTAAAAAGTCATCTTGAGACACATTTGACAAGAGATCATGTATTAGGTCACGGATTTTAAATGTGTAATATGTATATTCAACCTCGACATCTTGGACAAAACCCCTCGACCATAATTCTTTGAAATATCGTAACCCAACATCTTCCCACTCTTCGTTTTGCTTGGGGCTTTCAGTAAGTCGAATGGCCATCCAGAATTGGATGATATAATCAGTATCATAAATAGTATCCTTTGGAAACAATGACAAACGAGTTAGGCACCTTTGCAAATGAGATGGCAAATGATTATAACTCAATTTCAGCATAGGTAGAATGTCATTTTCATTTTGATCAAGTTTCCATATGTCGTTATCTTTTATAAATTCCCATTCATGTCGCTCAGTTTTCAGTAGAGCAAGCTCCCTAAAGTTCTCACCGCCAATGGAACCCCTTTGCATTTTTTCACAATTTCATCACCAATTCTCATAAGGTTTGGATATACTTTCTCATCTCCTTCCCTAAATGCCCATTTTACAAACAAAGATAGACAATCTTTGTGACTAAGACCTTTCAAGTTGTACGGAGCAATAGTACCCACTATCGAAGCAACTTTTGAACTCCGTGTAGTCACAATGATTTTACTTTGTTGAAAGTTACCCATTGTCATCAGTAAATCTCTCAGTTCCATCCATTTTACATGATCTTCGTTCCATACATCATCTAAAACGAGTAAAAAAGTTTTACCATTTAAAAGCATTCGCAAATGAGTTTGCAATGCATTAACTGGTAAACCATCACATCTTTCTCCCGTAATGGAGTAAATAACATCACAAAGCAACCTAGCAAGATGAAACTCATCTGACACACACAACCATATTTTCAAGGGAAAGACCCTAGTGATCCTTTCATCGTTGTACACAAGTTGAGCAAGCGTGGTCTTCCCTAAACCTCCGATTCCAACTATAGGGATGACGGGTATATTTTCAGTATCGATTGGCTTGACTAAAAGATCTATGATGTTTTCTTTGTCTCGATTGCGACCTATCACATTAGAAGTATCACAAAGCAGTGGGTATCCCTGAGAATAACACGCCGGTTCTCAACTTTCTCTTCAAGTCCAAGATTAAATTTTTTGAAATCACTAGCCATCGCATCTAGCTTTTCATTGATCTTTTTGATTTTATGACTCATCCTCAAAGGGAATGCAAATGGAATAGAGAGAGCAGGTAATCGTACCAATTTGTTGGTGGCGCTTCCACGATTGATCAACTCCTTTCGCAGCGCTTCACACATGAATTCATCAAGCACATCCTCAGCATCATATAAGACGTCTCTAAGCTTCCCCAAACTAAGGCGCAACGTCTCGTTCTGGTGCTGCCGTTTTTCAGCATCTAACAGCACAGCATTATGTAGGTCATGGTTTCCTTAAGCCTTCTCAAATCACTACTGACATTCCAAAGCGAAATAGTTTCTTTGGCAGCTAGGGATACTATCTTTTCCTAAATCTGTTCTGCAACGATGGCCAGAAATGATTCCGCCATAATTAAACTCTGGAAAGGTAATCAAAGGTAAATGACAATTGAGTATAGTATTTATATTGAAGTTTGTTTCCGGGAAATTAAACAAGTGAGTTTAGAGTAAATATTTTATTTTAGCAGCCATCAGTACTTTTATACTTGTGGTTTGGTTGATGATCAGCTACATCACCACCAAAAGAACAAAAAAAAAAAAAGGCTTTCAATGTTTGCACAATGAAAAATGGATGCTTTCCAGGAATCACGGCATCCACCCTATCGTAACACGAGGGACACCCACGGACACGCAAAAAAAAAAAAAATCAGTGAGTGTATCGACGGACACGAAACGAAATGCATTTTACTTGAAAATTTTTTTAAAGCCGAACTGATAGAAAACTAAACAACTGATGGATTCCATATTTAGATTTAAGCATCACATGGTGGAAATAATATGGGTAATGAACTTAATTTTATTGCAATTAAGAATTTTTAAGTGTGGTCTTAAACTTAATTCAATTATTTAATATGGGTATAATGTAAATTTTTATTTTGGGTCTTATTTACATTGAATATTTTTACATAGGTAATATTTCTTCCATTTTTTTTTCATTTTTGAGTCGTTTCAAAATATATATTTTTCAAAATTTCTGAATACCTTTTATTTTATCTTTATACTTAAAATTTATTTTTTGACAATAAAAAATATGATACTTCAATATTATAAAAAATTAAAATTATAATATTAAATACAAAAATTAGAATTTTTTAAAACAAATAAATTGAGAGAAGAAAGAATATATAAAAATGTTTTTATCATCATTAGTATCGTGTTGTATGAATACCTCATAGAGTTTCACTTTGATGCAACAAATTATTCAATTTACTGATAATTGATAAATTTTTCAAATAAATATCTATTTTATTTCACACGTTCCCCTGTCGTGTAAAACAAGTAAAAGTGACCTTTTATAAGACTTTGCACATGACTTAGGGGTGCATTGATTGTTATAGTTAAACTGTTATGCAGCACGGATGGTTAACTTTAAGTAAAATTTTAGTTTTTGAGTTTTGTAAATAAAAAAATAATTTCGAAAGAACTTACGAGATTTGATTCAATTTGATTCTGAATTAATCGAGATTCAAAATTATTATTGAACGGTCGAAAAATTTCAAAAAAAAAAAAACTGTTATGCAACAACCTCCAAGTAAAGTTCTGATTTTGCTTAGAACCAGTGCTTTCTAAATGAGATAATATCATTCACCCCGATGAAACAATAACTGAATATAGAACACTGAAATGAATGGCTGAAGTAGATTACGCAAACAAATACATATTCTAGGTACATGGGGTCAAACAACGTTACAAGCATGAACTACAATCAATACGCAACATCAAGGCAACAAATGTTACATCAAACCAAGAGACTTGATATCTGAAGCAAACCAAGAAAAAGCCCACAGTGGGATACAGATAAACTAAGAGCAATTTAAAACAAACTAGTCATAACACAACAAACACATAATTAAGTATGTCTGGTACATAATATCACAACAAAATCTTACAGAATAGCACTGTTAATTACATTACATCTGATACAAATTAAAATCACATTCATTTATTACAACAATAATATTCCATAAAGTCCTTAATTGAAGGCATCTTAACAACAGCAAAAAGACTGTAAATCAAACAACGTAAAATGCTTACTGCCAGCCTTCCATACCCAACACGCCTTCCCTGAATTTTCCATCTTGAGAGCTGCATGCATTGGTTAAAACTAAATGAATTAAAAATACAGCTAAAATGCAATTCCTATAGGTTTAATATATAACGAAACATCTTGTGTAATTTTGCCGACTAACATCTTGTGTAATTTTTCCGACTTAGTCTGCTCCAATGTACCAAATACATATATACATACATATATACATACATACATTTTGTAAACTTTTCGTTCTAATAAAATCTATTTAATTTTGCATAAAAAATACATACGTGCATACATAAAGATGTGTATATTTGATTTAGTATAAGAAAGTATATATATATATATATATAAATCTCAATTCGTAGAAGCCTGACATATAATGTATAAGAATTGAAATTTTCATAAAATCTTGCTGATGAACTTTAATTATAGTAGAATGCTATGGATGGATTGAAGTCTCACCTGCTACTCCTTTATTTTCATCAAAGTATCCAGTTCATAATTTACCTGTGACTTCAAAAATACAGATTATTAAAATTTGCAAAGGTTGTATACATTGAGCAAATTATATGATCATTTTTTTTTATTTTTGACTGGAAATTAGAGGACAGTTAATCTGAATTCTAGAAATTAAAAGGAAATGCAAACGAAAATGTCATGCATAAGAACATATAGTAGTACTATATAATAAGACCATCCATAATTAATTCTCCATCTCAGTTTGGGAATTTTTTTCAGCAGCAATTTTGAAGTGTTTAATTTCAAATCTAAAATATAAAAAATTCATAAAACAGAAATTTCCTCTTTTTTTTTTTTAAGTTTTTCCCTGAGAGATCAGAAAAGGAGAAAAGAAAAAGAAATAGTATTTCAGAATTATAAAGAAGTACATCGAACAGTGATAGATTAGATTGCTCAATAAATAAATACCCTCCAACGTGACTTGATAATCTTTTGGTCTTCAATATGAACATTGCGGATGTGTGATATCTTGGACCAATCTGCGCCAGCTTCCGGTTGGCAGTTTTCACACAATGTAGGACATTGTTGAAACTTCAGTTGTCTAAGTGCAGTGAGATGGTCTATTCCATCGGGAAGATAGGAAAATTTGGGACAATTAAGAATCTCCAGTCTTTGAAGTGAATTAAGACTTTTTAGCGATTCTGGTAGCATCTCAAAGTTGGGGCAATGCTGGATTTCAATGGATTGCAAACAGCCAACAGATCCCTCAAGAAGCAATCCAGGCAGATCCTCCAAGTTTGGTGCATCACGTAATATCAACTTCTGAAGGCTCAAGTGAAGGTCTTGGTCTTCTCTGCCTTCCGGTTCCGTGCGTAAATTGATCATTGGGCAGGAAACAATTGCAATTTCCTCTAATTTGACTAGGAACTTCAGACTTCGAGGTAGTAAGACAAGTCTATATCATTTCTTCATAGTCAAATTTCTAAGTGATGTGAGGCATTGCATCCCTTCAAACAAACATTCCAGTGTCTTACACTCGTAGAAGAATAAGAACTGAAGCGAACTCCAACTTTGCAATCTGAGACTGATCGATCTTTGCAAATTGTCACGCACTTGCAATTTTGGAACATCAAATAATCTCAATGTCAGCAAGCTCTGGAGCTTATAGATAGACTTAGGAAGCCTAGTCAATCTAATGCACCTAGTTAAGTTAAGATACAGTAAATGCTTCAAGGTGCAGATGGATTTTGGTAATACCTCCAACCAGGAATTTTCCAGATCAAGTAGCCGTTGGTACTTAAAATTGAAGATGCAAGCACTCAGAAATGATTTCTCAACCATCCTATAGTATCCTCGAGGAGGAGGATTACTAATGGGCGCACACCATTCAACTTCTTCAAAAAAAGTTGTGGAGTTCTCAATGGAATATTTTGATCAGAAAATGACAAATGCCGAATATTTTCAGAAGCATTTACCACATGTTGATATACTGTTAAGCACTCTTCTTGTGAAGCATTTAATGCGAGATCGTGTATAAGATCATGCATTTTGAAGATATAAAATTAGTTTCTATCTTGGACAAAACACCTTGACAATAAGTCCTTGAAATACTGTAACCCAACATCTTCCATGCATTCGCCT